TTCGAGAATGAACTGCATTAATGACAGTATTACTTACCCATTTCAAAAAGTATAAGAAATATAACATACATGTATTCTTCTATGTATACGTATATGTGTTCATCAAATAACTCCGAACAACGATTTCCAACATTATCCTTAGAAAATAAACCCATATGAAAAGATAGAGGAATATCAGACAGTAACAATGCGTTTGAGGTTTAAAAGAAAGGGGAATTATTCCCCTAACTCTATCTCTCTCTTTCTGCATGTAAATTTGTTGCTGAAAAAGTGCATAGAGGTAGACCCCCGGAAAAAGGACATCTGGAATTTCCTTTTTTATTCTGGAACGCATTTATTATTCATACTTTTTAGAGCTGTTGTAAATTCGAGTTCAGTAAGTTCGCTATCTAGAGATGTCCGTTCTATATCACTTACTTTTGGTATAGTTGGATCCATAAAATTAAATTTAGTTGTTTTTTGTTCAACCTCTTTATAAAGATTTTTATAGAAGCGCTTCTGCTCTTCTATTATTTCATTTTGTTTTGAGATTATTCGGCCACTAACTTCTATTTGAATCATAACCTTTTTTTCAGAATTTCTTTTTTCTAAATTTGCAAACAATTTACTATTTTTCTCATTATATTCAACATTTAACGCTTTTGATCTTAATATTATTCCATTTATCTTCTTATCGTAGATTTCGTTTAACTCTTCTTTATTTTTTTCTATTTCTGACTTTATTTTATCAATATCATTGTTTAGGGAACAAGAACTGAATGTCTGTTCTAAGTTAATTAATTTTAAATTGATTTCTTTTTCCCTTTTTTCATCATCTTGTTTGGTTTTACTTGCAAACTTAATAGTTTCGTTTCTAATATTTCCTTTCATTATTTCCCACATTGTATTTGGATTTGCCCCTGCATTTATCATAGCGGTTTCTTCAATAATTTTTCGTATAACGTTTTGGTATTCATGTATAAGTAGTAAACTGTTATTAATTTTAAAGTACCCTTTTCCTTTTGTATGAATATGTGTGTTCATTGATAGTGTAACTCTAGAGTGGTCCGATTTATATCCATTTTCAATTTTACATAGGCAAACATTATTTAAAAGATTTTGAGAAATTAAAAAAAAATCAAGTCTACAGAATATAGCAGGTTTGTCATGTGAATGCCATGTGAACTGACGTTTATGTGGGTTTTTAGTTCTCCAAATATCAAAAACGCTATATTTTTCAATTATGTCCTTAAGTTTTTGTCTGCATTTTTTGTGGCCATCTTTTCTACCATTCTTTTTGTCTATTTCTGTATCTAAAACAGTGTTGATATCACCACCTATAATAATTTTTTTCTCTTCATGTTCCAAAATAAATTTATCTAGCTGTTCAAAAATTGAGGTATCATCATTATTTGGTCCATAAATATTTATAACTATATATGTGTTCATTGTCTGTTCAAACTCAATTGCTATTAATCTACCACAAACTATTTCTGTATATGTTATGTTTTTGCAATCGAATTTGCTGTTAATTAAGAAGCATACGCCGGCACTATTATTAGTATTTCCACTGAAAAAAGCCCGTCCATCCCAATCTGATGTCCATTTAAGATATTGTTTTGTGTTTAAATGCGTTTCTTGTAAAAGACATATGTCATACTTTTGTAAATTAAGCCAATTAAAAACTTGCTTCCTTTTCATATAATTTCCCAAACCTCTTACATTAAAAGTACAAATTTTCATACTCATTTCAATTCAATGTGAAGCTTACGTTCAAAAACAGTAGATGATCTTATATAAAAAAGTTTAAGAGACAAAAACATATTATTGAGTTTACATGTAAAGATCCATCATGTCGCAAAACATTATTAAACAAAACATTAAAAGCATGTTTTTACTCACGCACGCACACACACACGCACTCACATACACACACACATATATATAATATGCATGTGTACAAATATTAAGTATTTACACATTAAGCACAAAAAATATCTTTCTTCAAGGTATACTGAGTGTGAGAAAGAAAATATCTGTACAATTTTCCGGATCTTATATAAAATATTTTTGGAGAATTGCTACTGGTTATGAGGCAAAAAAGTTTCTGAAAGTTATTTTCCTATTCAGCTTTCAATTTTGTAACTTTTAGCAAAGGAGAAAAAAATAAAAACTTATCACTATAATGCAAACAAAAATATTATTTTCGAACTTATCATTCATTTTTAAATTAAGCCAGTTTTGCTCTTAACATAAAGGAGTATTTTTTTGGATAAGTACACAACACATAAAAGCATGATTATATTCAGAAACAAAAAAAGCATAACAACATTTATATGACACAACTATACCTAAGATAGTTTAGTTAATAGTATTTATTGATTTCTCCAAGACAAAGACATTAAGTATAATGATAATATATTATTTTTAAACATACATTGTTTGTGTATTTTATTGTGTTAACTTAATCTGTAAAAGGTATGGAAGTACAGACAAAAGACAAATGACTTAAACAATGATTTAGTAATCATTGTTGGCCAATTTCTCTCTCGTTAAATAACAAGTTTTCAAAAGAATAAGTGTAAAATCTTAATTAAAAAAGGAAAGAAGTCATCATTTCACCCTTATTCTTTATATATTGAAATTATTATATGTGTTACAGCTTAAACAGCCATGGCAGAAAAAGACTTGTTTTTAACATAAATATGTATCTTTTGAGCAAATATTTTTAACACAAAAAACAACAAAATATATTCAGTGACAAAAAGCAAACAACATATATATGACTCAATTTTTACATGTATGTTTTGAGCAAGTAATTTTTACACACAAAAGAACCTCAACAGAAAAATATTCAGTGACATAAAGCAAACAACATGTATATAATTCAATTTTTACATAGGACAGTTTTGTAAATGATAGTTTTGCTTTCCTCTCGATAAAGATATCAAATATAATGATATAATAATATTTTTAAACGAACAATGTTTTGTGTATTTTATTATGTTAACTTAATCTGGTGAAATCATGAAGGTACAATGACCAAAACAAGGAAAGAAGATCATAATTATTCTTTTATATTCTTAAATCAGCTGTTTCCATATTGTGTGCTTTCAATAAAATTAATGAAAGAAATTCTGTTAATTCTATTATGACTTAAGCTCAAATAGTTAGTTCAGTTTTTTATGTATACTTTATTAAAGGTCAGCATTGCCATGTGTGTATAGGGGTATATTATATTCTAATTGTAAAAGAAAAAAAAATTAATATAGTAATTAAAATTTACTGCTTCAGGATTTTCATATTAAATGTATATTTTAGTAAACGATAGGATAAAGTAAACAAATATGGAGAAGGATACAAAAATTTAACAATGAAAGTCCATTGCTTGACAATGTGTACTTATGCGTCTACTTTTATATAAGAAAACCGGTTTGACAACTTCACTGTCAAATGTTTGTATTACATATGCTGATCAATGATCATATAACTACTTTGTTAATTTCACTGGGGCTAACCATGCATTGTGGGTTGCTGGACGTTTAAGTTGGTCTGGTGTTACTATCGGCCAAGGCAGATCGATCCATGTCTGGTATTCATCAGAATGAACTCGGTGAACTGATCCCATTTTATTTTTGTAGAAAATGTTACCATTCCTAGTCCACACACCTTCCACTTCATCCGACAGTTTTTTCCTTATATACGTAAAAACGTGTTGATTCAAACGAGTAAGGTCTTCATTAACGTAAATTCCTGATCCCTTTAATAGTTTCCGATTTTTTAGTATTTCTACTTTTGTGCCCCGCGAGCAGAATTGAACAATTATTTGTCTTGGCTTTTTGTCATCTTGTTTGCCTAAGCGGTGACCGACTTCTATATCATCTATTTCTAGTTTTAATTTAGGCATGTAAGAATTTAAGGTATTCAAAACCTTTCTCTCCGTTTGTTGCTGGTCTTCATTAGTTGTTTCTTTAATCCCGTCAATTCGAAGGTTGTTTATTCGACTATATTGTTCGAGATCATTTATTTTTCCTTTTGTTTGCCTTTCGTTTATACGTATTTCTTCGACTAGTTTTTCATTTTCGTTTTTTTGGTTTTCTAGTACCTTTTCAAGCTCTTTAACCTCTTGTTTTAAAACTTCATTTTCAGTTTCCTTTTCAAATAATTTTCCTTCAAGAATGTCGATTCTTTTACTAACAGATGATAGCATTTCTTCTTTCATTTGACTGAACATGTTTTTTATCATATCTCTTAAGCTACCATCATCTTTTGTGTACACTTTTGAAAGCTTCAAGTTTATGTCTTTTAACTGTTTGTTAATTTTGTTTAGTTGTTGTGTATCAGTTTCTTGTATTAATGTGTCATCCTCAATATCTTGTTTACCTTTCTTCTTTTTCTTCTTTTTCTGTTTTTCTCCTATTGTACACATACCAGTACTAGTATCTAATGTGCTACTTACACTACTACATGCTTCTCTTTTCCTTTTTTTCTCATCGTTCATTTCATCATTTTCATCAGAACAAAAGTTATGTTTTTCTTTAATATTTGACATCTTAATCCATTTCTATATATTTCAATATTGAACGGTTAGACACTGTGGTTTTCAAATATCTGCCTGGTTCCCATTTAGCAATAGAAAATATTTCATGACTTTTTCGTGCAGAATGATTTTTCAGTTACCTCAGTTCAATAATGCACTATCTCTGTGCGAAATGATATAGCAGCTAGCTCGTTTTTGCGACATGATGAATTTGGCTATTTATACAGACATAATGTACCAATATTTTTAATAGTTCACAAACGTTTTTTTTTTAGAAATTATAGTTACCAAAGTATATCCTCATACAAAAACTTATATCTATATATCCTTAAGACACATTTTATATAACACTTTAACACTAAAATAATACTTACTAATATACATACATAAAGTAATAGTGACGAATTCGAATCAAGACTTTATCCCAAAAATGGGATACTGTCATGGGGTTTTGCATGAGGTTGTCATTAACCAAAAAAATAACGTGGTAAAAAATGTTTTACACAATAGTATTACACTTTCGTGAGACTTTCAACTATTATATGCATATTTAAAGTGATTGCACGTGTACATTTAATTTTAAAACAAATCTTACTAAAAACTGCTATTTATCACAAATAAAGAAATAAACATATTGAAACAATCATTACCTTCAAACTTATATAAAGATCTGTGTATATCTATACATATTGTTGAAAACAAACACAACAATACCCGATTATTTACAAAACAAACACTTTTACAAAATATTTTGAAATATTTTATAAACAAATATTTATGAAAGTATTTTACCTTACTGCTAGATGTTTGTTTATTTCATCTGTGTCTTTTAAAGCTTTTTCAAGTTCTTGGATTTGTTTCATTTTGTCATCAAGTTTGTGGCGTAGTTCTTCTACATTCTTTCGCTCTTTATCAAGTTCTGTCTCCAACGTTTGTCTAAAATACAAAATTGAAACGGCACTGTATCTTCATAGCTTTAAAGCTGTAAAGCTGTTATAGATTCAATTTTGTATATGATTATAATAAGTGATACAATCTTTAATAAATCATACTAATGTACACAAGGACAGATATTGGTTGGTTTGGGTTATAATGCTTGCGAAAAAAAAGTTGTAGAAGCAACAAGTTTATAATCTGTATGGAAGTCATTGCTTGAGTGTAAAAGTAAATGGTCCCTATGCAATGGAAAGTCAATGGTTGCTATAGAAGTCAGTAATTGCTATGAAGTACAGTTGTTCCTATTGACAGTCAATTGTTGCGCTTCTTTGGAAAGACCATGGTTGCAATAGATTATAACGCTTGCTAAGGAAAACCTTGTAGAAATAAGAGGTTGCTAAGTTCAGTCAGTGATTACTATTTAAGTCAGTGGTTAAGGTTGTAAGTAAATGGATGGTATGAAAACTTAATGTTTGCTATGGAAAGTCAACAATTGCTACGAAAGTCTTTAGTTGTTTTAATAAACAATTGTTCATATGAAAAGTCAATGAATTGTTTTGGTAGACAGTATCACCGTGTATATCCAATAGCGTTGGAATGTGAAAATAACGCACGATTCGTGCAATAAGTAACGCAGAACTGGGCAATAAATTGCGGATACCTGACAGGATTTCAGCTCACAAAAAGCCATAATCTCGCTCAAAACGATGGTCAAGCCATCATTTTCACGAATGATCTTAAAAAATAAACAATGTCGTGGCAATAATCTTGATGAGGGATAAAGAGTAATGTCTTCAAAGCCGTATGCGGCTTTTCCTTTTTTTCAGTTCGGTTAAATAAAAAATATATTGGCCAGTTTACTTACCGCGTTGGAAATCCTGTCAGGTATCTGCCATTTATTACACAATTCTGCGTTACTTATTGCACGAATCGTGTTATTTTCACATTCCGGCGTTACTGGATATACACGGTGAATAGGCTATGGGAAGTCAATATTAACTTTTAACCTCATATTTACGCGAAACAACGCACTTTCAACGCCCCATCTTTTAGGCGTCAAATAGTGAAAAAATGTCCTGTTTTGGCCCCAAACACATGTTTTCGTTTGAGAAGTGTTGATAAAAAAGTGATTACTTTTTTGGCGCCGCCCTTCATCAAAAAGGGACATCAGGGGGTTGCCAGGAGGGGAATTTGTCCCCTTCTGTTTTGGGGGTTTGAAGGAAGCGACATGCCCTCTTATCGCCAAGACATTTTGGACTTGTGAGAGGCTAAAAATGACCCCAGATCAATCATAATATAACGTGTTACCAACGCTGAAAAGCCCGTGACTCTATCTGAATCAATTGAGAAGTTGCAAGAATTTTGATAGAGAAAAATCAAGGCAAAATAATGATTTTTTGGCATTTTTTGAGTTATTCCCTCGTTGCCATGGTAATAGGAAATTTAAGACTGAACATGTTGTTACATGGTCCAGTTAACACTTGTGCCAAGTTTGATTAGTATTGAAGCAGCTTTTATAGCAATTTGAACTTGTAACGGGAGACTTTTCAATGAAAACAGCCATTTTTCACAAAATGCTCATGCAGTTATGGGTTAATAGCTTTGAAGAACAATTATTAATATGGAAGTAAATGGTTGTTGTTGTGACAGTCTTAATTAATTGCTATGAATGATAATTGTTCCTGTTAAAAGTCGACGGTTTCTATGGAAGTCACTGGTTGCTTAAGAAAGACATTGATTACTATGGACAATAGTGTTTTCTAAAGAAAGGCAATTCTTGTAAAACTCACAGGTTGCCTTTTTAAGTCAATATTAGTGGTTGCTATGGGAGTCTTTGCTTGTTATGGGAAGTCAACGTTTGTCTTGGAAGTAACTGATTGCTAAAAAAGGAAATCAATGCATGATGACCCCGGGGCAGAACAAGACAGGGCCAATTTAGACCCAATGGCTAAAAATTAAACAAACACAGTGGACGTCATTATAGAAATGTTTTATGACAATTATCTAGACTCTAGCTTTTGTGATTGTAGGGGCCACCTTAGATCACAGGGCTATAATTTCAAGCAACATTGATATGGTCTATTATACAATGTTTCTCGAGAAATATATAAGCTTTGACCTTCATGGTGTTAGAGAAAACGATTTCTGTTCTTATTATATACGCTCGTACATATAAGAAAATACATGACCCCCTGGACAGGGCTAATTTATAGCACAGTGCTATAATTTGATTTTGGTATAAACACCCTCTAGGCAATGTTTTATACTAAATATCTCGTATTTTAGCCTTCATGGTTTTTTTGCTATATACAAAATCTATAACCCCCGGGGCTTGTCCAATTTTTAATTAATTTGGTTGAGTCTACAACAAAATATTTATTGCCATTATTTAAGCTCAACCTCATTATAATGGTTTTAGAAAAAGATTTTTTTATCTCAAATTTATGCTTTATTGATATAAGGAAAAACAATGACCTCCTAGGTGGGACCTATTAGACTCTAGGGTTAAAATCTGAACAAACTTGGTAGAGGTCCATTAGACACTATTCATGCCCAATATCTAAGTTTAAGCACTCATGTTTTTATAGAAGAAGAAATGTGGTGATTAGTTTTGTTTACACTGTAATGTCATGTAGGAACATAATGGTCTTAGAGTGAGGTTTGGCGCGCCTAAAACCGGTTTCAACTCCCCATGGTGTAACTACCAAAACCGTTCCATCGAGTTACCCCCCGGTGTTCCTTCACGTTTTTTGCATGTATGTTTTGTTACTTGTTTTGAAGATTCGCATGTATTGTGATGTCTACCTTATTAAAGGTAAGTATAGCTCTCTCTCCCCCCCCCCCCCCCTTCTGACCCCCTTTTCTGCCTTATAGCCCTTGATCATTTAATTTCCATATGTGTTCGTTTTAGTTTTATTATTTCACACATGACGTGTCCATTTCCTCCTTTCGCCGCCTTATGTCTACTCCAGGTTTTGATTTGGCGCCTTCTGGGTGCCTTTCTGTGGTAGCTTTGATGTGTCGGGGGCTGCGTCCCGTGAACGTTGCCTTTGCCTTGTTGATATTTATTCTCGTTTTTTTATTATTTGTTTTTAATCTTATACATAAAAACCGCGGGGGATCGAAATTTAACCCAGGAGCTTTAATTTAAACAGTCCTGGTGGACAACAACTAGAGAATGTGTGATTTCATCTATCTAAGTTCTAGCATACTGACATATCTATCCTCTCATGATTTGTTTTATATCAATTTTATACTGTACCCGGTTGAAACGACGCGTATGAGACAGATACCCGAAATCCTGTTCGGTCCCGATACACATCATTCTTCTTAAATAAAAGAATAACCGAATATGCGAACTTTAATGAAATAATCAACAATGTGCAGGTTTAAGAAAAGTTTCTACCTCAGATCATTTATTTATTTAGCAACACATTATTCACTATCTGAATAACAATAGGAACACTTTAATTTTTCTTCCATTATTGACATATAAACTAGCATTTGGCACAGTTTTGAGATTTTTTTTTTTTTTTGGTAAAAAGATGTATTCATATATTAAAGGAAAATGTTAACGCTAATATTAAACAATTTGTTAAGATAATTTCTTATTTGTTCAAAAGATAATTCCCTTGTTATGTAGTTGTACGTAAAGGAGAAAGCCTATTACCATGTGCTTTGTTACTATCATAAACGATTGAGAATTGTTTTATATTGTTATTAATTATAAGAAACTACAATGGAAATAGAAGTACTACAAATGAGCTTTTACATCTTATTAAACCATTTATTCTAACTCTACGCGAACGATATTGTTATATCAATATTACGTTAAAGAATGAAATTTTGGGATATGGTAATCTCAGCTGTATTGAGTGTGTACAATAAACATTCTTAAAACTTATTATATTGACATCGAAGGAAGGATATTATAATTCTGGTCAAGATTATAAAATAACAATGCATTAAAAGTGTCAATAATAAATAATAAATGTTTGTCTGTAAGAACAAAAGTTGAATTACGTATCATTTCCTTAAAAGGAAATTTCCATTGCTTTTTTAATATCAAACCTACCTTAATCACATTGTCAGGAGAAATGACTGCCTTGATGTTATTTAATCTAAGGAAAGATTAAGTAATAAATACTAGAACCAATTTCCAAGATATGGGGGCTGGGCAGCACCCCTTGACATAAAATTGAAATATTCTCAGTTGGAAAACTAGCATGTAATTGTTTAGTTAACATTATTTTTAGGTATTTTTATCTTTTTCTATCTCAAATCAATATATAAATTTAAACAGCAAACTCTGATTATTATTTACACCCAAAACAAAGAACTCTGATCATTAGTTCCACCCAAAAGAAACAAACCACTTATACGAAATATCTTTTCACGTATACGTCTTTTATACGAAACAATACTAGACACCTGGCGAGCCCAAGCTCTAAACAACTTATGATCAAACAAAACAATAAAACTCCACAAAATGAAGAACACAGAAATGACTATTTTTTACAACTCTAAAATACACTATAAACCATAAACATTCAACTAATAATATTAACTTCGCAAAAATCTAATCAGCATCACAAGACAACTTAAACTAAAGCACCCAATATTTACATATATCCTCAAAACAAAGCATCAACTAATATAATCTTGACCAGACAAACATTCAACCGATTTCAACTAAATATTACTACCCAACAGATAAAACTCAAAAACCAAAACAATTAATTACAACCAATAAACCATGATCAATTAAGATCGCAACAATAACGTTCAACCAACAAAACTCCCTTCAATACAACAAATTCTCTTCTCCACAAAAATATAAACGCTACACACTATCAGTGTGTCTCTCCTAAACTGATGTAAAATCTCTATCAAAACTCGCATATTTTCTGTTATACCGCTTTGACATTTTACGTGTATACAGAGTTTAATATACGCACAGCGACTGGTTTAAACATAATATTTACACTCCATTTAAAACAATGTATCACTGTAAAGAAATATCTACTCGTTGTTTTATCTACAACAATATATCACTGTAAGGAAATATTAACTCGTTGTAAGGTACATATCTACATATAAACTTCATGATTATTCACATGTACACATGTAGTTTATCACAAGTGTGGTTTGACAAAAAAAAAACATGATAGACTTAAGCTTCAGTTAAACAAAATTAAACTTCAAGGACCCTTTTTTAAACAAATGGTATTTTTTAATAAGAATCGAGTTTTTAGGGTATTTAAAAGGATTTGAACCGTATTTTACAATATAGATAGTTAACTTTTATATTTAAATTCAGAACAAGAAATAATCGATTTCTAATAGAAACGGGTAATTAGTCTAGTAACACAATTACGATTATATCTTGTGCTTATTGTTAAAAAAAGTTAGTGACGAATTTCACTGTAAATTTAAATGTTGTCAATTAAAAGGAGAAGAAAAGGCTTTCTGTAAAATCAAAAATCGTCGACAAAACATTTTGAAACTAAAAACAAGTCTGAATTTCTCAAGTTGTTTCAATCAATTAGATGTATCATTCATAAGAATTTAAGTATAAACAACAAAAACTTATTTTATATTTTTAACATTAGGTTAAATATAGACTTGTCAAATCATTGATTTGCATGGTTTGTCGACAACCTCCCATAACCAACTTAACCGACTAGTCTTACTATGTGCTGGTATAGACAAGTTATACTATGTTAATATACAAATCCAACAAAAATATACATGCCGAAATACAATGAAATAGGACGTTCTTCAGTATGTGTTATTATATAAAGATCAATGTGAAAATAATACTGGGCTTAAAGTTCAAAAACTTGAGTCTGTTATTTAATACAATGTACATAAAGATATTTAAAATGTCTCCGTTAAATACATGAACACGTTTAAGCAAACTGATCGTTGCAATATTCTGTACTTGCCTTATCCGACAACCTCCAATAACCAACTGGTCCTGATGAATGTCGGTATAGACAAGTTCGACTGTACTGGCTTATTTTAAAAGATGAGAACGACGTACAACGGAGATAGTGGCAATAACAGCCTTATGCTTAGGTGAGCTAAACTGCTTGATAAATAAAATTGATTCTACAGATATTGGCCATTTGTGCCGCTAAGTAAAAATATGGGATAAAAAAAGAACTGTATCATTGATAAGAAGAGAACGAACATCAAAACACTCGGCACTATACACGGGAGCTTAGCCCCCCCCCCCCCCCCTCGTATAAATCAGATACCCTTATGTTTCGGTGCTGTTCTATAACTTATCGTTGAACAATTCAATTAACAAGAATATTACTAGTCCGTCAAACAATGACTTTTCGAGAAATACTTGCATTTTCACAATATAATACCTAATGGTGTAACATACCCTCGTGACACATGCTGATTGCTCATCAATTTTACTTTATGACTCTTCACAGTCCGGTTATGATGAGTTAAACATCTACCACAAATGTATCTACCAAACACGCCACAATTATAACAGAAGTACGATGCTGGCTGGAGCTTTCCATCCGTAGCACAATATGAGCAGACCTCAGTATCATCTTCATTATCCCTAGCTTCGTCACTTCCACTTTCTTTAAAACTTTGTCCAAGTGACATTGCCATACTCTGAAAAATAAATCATCTTTGATTGATAAATATTGTCTTTTTAGACATAAACACAATAATGATCTTTATCTTTTATTGTGTAAAAAACATTTCATGAAATTTGTTAGTTTCTTCAATTTAATGCTAGTGAAATAGATTTTCATCATTAACTTACCGAGGGTTTCCTCATACATCAAGTTCATTTTTCATTGTATCCCTTTGTTGTGAAAATGTTAATCTTTTTGTAAAAGACGGGTTAGGGAGGGTGGCAGGTGAAAACACCTTTAGATGAGATATTCTACATTCTACTATTCTACTATTTCCACTATTTTACTTGTCTCTCGTAAACTCAAGCGGGTCTACAATTTTCATTGACATTTTAAAGCGTCATGACATTTTGCTCGAATGTTTTTGAACAAAGTATTGAACTTTTCGGCAAAAAAAGTTATTGAACCTACTTTCAAGTACATAAATGTAAGGACGATAACTGGGGATATATGGGTATATAGGTAAGTAGAATTTATATTTTGTTACATAGGCCTCCGACCCAAAATACAACATAATACAACAAACAAGACATAGCAATGGAAAATACAATGAGGTGATCATAAATGTACATAGTATGTTGTACTAAGAACATTGGTAGACATTATAAAAAAGAGATTAAAAGACAATGCCGTAGATATATTACCCTATATAATTACTAATACAATGTTAAATTTTATGTACTGAATTTGGCGTCCATATTTAAGTGCATGATAGAGAAAGCGTGCTATAGTCTTATATAATATCGCATCTTCATTAATTGGAACAGAGTTAAATTTTTCATGTGAAGGATTTTTCACTAATTCATCTGATAGAATGATTTACGTATAGAATTAAAGTGAGTACAAATCAAGATAATGTGATCATCATCTAGGTCGTATAAACAGAGAGGATTTGTCAATTATTCATCTGGTAGAATGCTTTTACGTATAGAATTAAAGTTAGTACAAATCAAGATAATGTGATATTTATCATCTAGGTCCGTATAAACAGAGAGGATTTGTCACTTATTCATCTGATAGAATGCTTTTACGTATAGAATTAAAGTTAGTACAAATCAAGATAATGTGATCATCATCTAAGTCGTATAAACAGAGAGGATTTGTCAATTATTCAAGTGTAGAATGCTTTTACGTTATGAATTAAAATTAGTAACAAATTCAAATAATGCATATTTATCAATCTAGTCTTAAACGGAAGAATTGTCATTATTCATCTGGATAATGCTTTACGTATAATTTAAAGTTGAGTAAATTCATCTACGATAATGTGATTTTTATCATACTTGTTCGTATGACAGAGGACATATCCTTATATTTTTGGTATATTATTGAAGAAGCCAGAGTTATAAACCGCCTCTAAATTTAACAATGAGTGACAGGAAATTTTCAATTTGATCTAGGTATGATTCTCTATTAAAGTCAATTTGAAAACATTAATAGAAAAAAAGTCTAAATGAATCAAGAGCCTCCCAACATGTTTGGAAATCAATAACGCGCAACCTTCGAAATAATTCGCGTAAGTCCTAATCCCTGGTAAAGCAAAATATGACCAAATTCATTTATGAAAAGTACAGGCCGATTATTGATTATACACCTACCTGACACCAAATGGGCATTCAAAACTTTCAATAAGTCCAGATGTGGATTTTATGATATAAATATTTGATCATTTTTAAAAAAAACTTTGAACTAACATTATTAGTGCATAATTTACTATATAGAGCATGTTTATTAATTCGATCAAATGCTTATTCGAAATCAACAGATAAAGCATAAAAACGATATTGAGGTCTTGTAGATATTTGGTTATAAAATTGCACAGACAAAAAAATGTATATAGTGTTATAACCACTCCTAAAGCGGCATTATCCTTTACCTCATACAAAGTTTGAGTCACACCAATTTTTTACAAATCTGCTATTTTAAATAGTTGTAAATGTTTTACTCAGATGGCTGATCCCGCGATAATTGTTTGGATCATTTTGGTTACCCTTTTAAGAACAGATAAGATATCTGAGATTGACCAATTACTGGGAAATTTATCGTTATTGTATTGCTTATTGCATGACACACATAAAATTGGGATGAGTCTGTCAGATTCGGCTAAAATAAACTCAGCTGTGATACCATCACTTCCAGCTGTTTAACCTTATTTGATTTCAGACGTTGGTGGTATCATCAAACTCACTGTTAACAACGGAATTAAATAAACTATTAAAGCAATTATACCACTCTTCAGTTGTTATATTAATACGAGTTAGCTCTTTGTTTGTCTTTTACTTTAAATTATTCCAAAACTATTTCAACCGGCATCGACAAGTTTTTATCTTTCATGAGCTTCATATGTTAGTTTGCAGTTACGACATGTTTCGAAATATTCGGATTTGACAAATTTGTAGTCGTGTAAAGTGCTATCAGTTTACAAGGAGAACTATACCATTTTTGACATTTCTGATTTGTATTAAGATTATACAAACACTTTTTTCTAGTGTTCATATTTGTTTTTTCCAGCATTGTAAAAACAATGTGTTAGTCGCTGTTTATCTAAATTATATCATTATTATCTAAAGCTGAATCAAAAAAGTCATACAGAGAATCGAGACCTATAATTATCTTTTCGATATATTGTTGTTTATTATTTGCATACCATTTCAGTCGAGCATATAGATTCACAGAGATATACTCAATACTTTTTCAGGAATGTTATCTTCTAATTGCGATGCGGACTTAATCTTAACCTTCATGAGAAAAGCTTAAATTCGGTTTTCAACATCAAAATCTCAGCCATAATCAAATAATGACATATCAGACAGAATATTATCAATAAGACTCGAATTATTATCAGTATAACATGTTCAACAACATTTTCCAGCATCGTTGCCGTTTCTGCCATTGCATATACGAAGCTTAGTAGCAGTACAAAGCTGAAGCAATTTTTGCCGTAATTATTTATAGATTTACCATCAGGAATAGCTTTGGGTGGCAAAATAGTATCTACAATATAAAACGTAAAAACTATCATTATTTTAACAATGGAAAGTCGCCATCCATTGCAATATAATTAGGTTTGTGGACGTACACGCTTTGAAATCAACTAAGACAACAATGGAAAGACCCGGATAGTCACTTTCGAAAATAGCAAACTCGTCAAACAGTGCCTCAAGTATTGATGAATTTTCTGGTAACATATATACAAAACATAAAAGAAAATTATGAAGGATATTAACTTTAGAGCTTACACGTAACAATAAACTATTGTTACTAGAAGGTCTCAGTTGTATAACTTCAGCATACTGAAATATAATATTTTTAACACATACAGATATTCAATTTGAATTTCATTTTTTATGTTATTTGTCTAATAACATCTTAACATGTATAACCAGTTAATAAAAATTCACCATAGTTTTTAGCCCCAATTTCTACCAAACGAATAATGCTCAATGACCTAATATTATCAACATAATCTGATGAATCACAAATATCGCTTTCTCCAGTCCATTTTGATGAAACCAAAAATATTTCAAACACTCAAACAATATCATCCATGTCAAAGTCAGATATATAGGGTACACCGTCCCTAATCAGCTTATCACATTTAATATACGATCTTTTGTTCAGCTTCTTAAAGATGTCGATATAATGAGTAACTTTGGATCTAATTTTCCTAGAATGCGAGGTAAAATCTTCAGACATATTCTAGTTGATCGCTACTGTGTGCTTTAGATTTTCTGAACAAAATCTTTATCTTTGAATTTGGGAGAAGTTACTTTTCTTGTCAAGCGATGTGCACGTTCTAGTTCAATAGTGGCTTTCTTGTCGAAACCCCAAGGAAAGTTTTAAAAAATGTATGTCATTATAATGTCACTTGCAAAATTGATTAACGTTGTATAAACATATGTTATACGGTCTGAAAGAAAGATGTGATTGACAATGGTAAAAAAACTTGACCATATAAGATAGACAGAGATACGGGTACATAATTATAAAAACAAAAAGCAATTAAGAGCCACAGCCGAACGAGGACAAGGCTGGACTTCTTTTATTTTTTCTAAAAGCAAACCAATAAACGATTTAAATAAATCGTTTAAAAGCAAATTAAAGAAAAAAAATGAAGTTTTTCCTTTTTTGAATTTTTATAGGTCTGTCTAGTCACACTTGTTTGTTTTGTCCAAGGATGAATCCTTACCAAAAAGTTAAATATTTAAATATAATCAAAATTCAATCATTTGACGGTCAATTTTATGTTAAGGTTAAGGTAATGTCCTTATTATTTCACATGTCATTTTGTCACAATTGTTGTTTTGTCCATTTATGAATCAAATCCGTACAAAAATAACATATCATGACAACTTAACCAAAATTCAAGGGTCATTTAAAGCCCATTGCCAAAGTCAGTTGCACCTTTCAGAATGTCTTGTCCGTAAGATTATTTTGTGCAGTTATGAAACTAATCCATCGATTAATTACCAAGCTACTGTCAATTATAGCAAAACAAGTGGAAACTGGAGGTCATAAGATTATAAAAGAGCAAGTTAATTTCTATAGTAATCATCAGATATACGTTTACAAGTCTTAATCCAAAAATAAATAATTTGTATCATTATATTTTATCTATATATAGAATAAGACCATGTACTGATATAGAAAATATACACGAATATATAGCACAGTACCAGAAATACGAAATGACAAAAAATCAATTAAATTACACTTCAAGTCAATTATCCAATTCAGGAGTGAAGGACAATGTCTGTTTAGTTAACGTAAAGGTCTATCTAAAAGAATTATTATATGCAAGAATGATGACAATCCATTTAAAAATAAAACACAGATATGGCCACTGATAGCAAAAGTCAGCAAAGCTGCAAAATTAAGACACTTGATCTTGACGGTCAATGTCATTTATGAATTAAGGTCAATGTTAGTCTAGAATACGTAAAGGTATTGTCCCAAGGGTTGTTGTGAATTCAATACACGAAGAAGTTAAAAAGTTATGATCAAGGTACAAGTTTATTTTTAAGTCTAGCTTAGTGAAAAAGTCTGCTCAAGACATAAAATGCTCAGGTGAGCTTAAAAGTTATTCACTGGGTAAAAAAGTTTGCCATCTGATATCAAAGTTAAAATCTTCAACTGAAACTGTCCTTGTAAATAGAATTCATACAAAATAGTAGGTCACTGGGCCAATATATAAGTCTTTATCTGCATATCAAACTTTGCACAAAATCCAAAAATCAAAGCTGTAGCTCTATTCACTAGGACAAAATGTATGGCGATAATGGAAAATTCGCTGTGAAAAGTTGTTGTTTTATTTTGCAAAGACAATAACTTCTGAAGTGTAGAGTCATTTTTCTTAAGCTCTGTAATTATCCGCAGACAGACCTATTAAAAGATAGTACGGTAAAAGTTTTACTTGTTAACTGCACTCCTCCTTTATAAGATGTGAGTTTAAGATTGACAGCTCAAATATTTTACGAGTTATGATCCAGACAAAACTAAGCATAAGAAATTACAAAAGGCGATAGTACTAAATTTTAGAAGTGTAAAGTGATCACGCGGCAAATCACGCCTCCACTCCCCTTCCCCCTCTTTTTTATGGGGGCGGGAAACATTCGAATACGCGCTATTATTCATAAATTTCAATGAAGTAGAAAACGAATTCAAGATGTCTACCACGAAAACCTTTAATGCAAAACAAGAATACTGTGAAATATTTTGCATTACGTATACAATGTATTAACACCCCCAAAGAAAAATATATAATTTATTCGGGTAATATAAATTTGACCAAAATTATGTCAATATAACCATATTTGAACTATGCATTAAACAGTACCGTTTTTCAGTATTTATCGTTATTAAAGAATATTCATTCTCCTTTTATTATTAAAATAAAACTCATTAAAATGATTTTTACACCAACATAGACATAGATATATTATCTGCACGCGATAATGAATTCACCAGCCTAATACATGCAAGAATTTAAAATACTATTCTATTTGATTTTATTTTAGTTTTTAGTGAAGGTAAGAGCGAAATATCGATAATTCATACTATACATATAATTGTTCCGGGGTTTGACGGAAATTTCCGACAAGTCGCAATTGTCATTAAATGTGTCTTCTTAGAAAGATTTCAAGTTGATATCTCAAAAAGTTTTAGATAAATTATAACTGGCAGTTATCATACACTGCTCTCCTTCTAAATATGATTTATCCGCTGATGAAATTATTTATAAGTTTATATTTTAAATTCTTTACGGATTAGACTCCTGACGAAATGTAATACGGAAAGACAGTGAGACAGACAGACAGACAGATACAATAATGATTAATTAATACATTCTGGTTAAGATAACTAAAACTTTTTCCCACGAAATTAAATATCAGCTAATTCAAGGTTTTTTATTATTATTTTGCCTTATAATAGTTTTTTTTCTTCCAATTATTCGAACATTCTAAAGGTAGGAAAGAGAATCTTAATGGTTGTTGTGTTTTAATATAATAGTAGATAGATTGGACATGACAATTAATATATCATATCTTATTCTATAATTATATATTCTTATACTGTAAACGAGCCTATATATATTATTAGTTGAATATCTCGGTAGTGCATAGCGTTTCAATAAGGAAGTTAAATATCCATGCACTTTGGAGATATATGACATGTAGATCCGTTTAAACCTTACTACGTTATCTTCCAACTACCGTTCTGGCCTTTCCGTCAGAATCTTCGATAAGGAAATAGAAAAAGCCGAGGACGTTCGATATTCCATAACCTCACATTTAATAGAGCGAAAATATTATTTGTACAGAGCGGATGAGTACTGATATTTTTTCACCCGTCGTTTGTGATATTTGATGTAATTATATGTTAGATGTAAAAGGCTCGTATGGCCTAGGTTGATAGATTAGTTGCTTGAATATAATTATGTTTTTTAAAGTAGAAATGAAGTTTTTACTTCAAGATTAATAGTTATATTCACAATTTTTAGGGGAAACGCTTTCGTGTTTGTTCGAATATCTAATTCTACGAAATTTTGGTTGCGTGGTAGTTTTGCTAGTATTGTTAGCTTTTTAATAATATGAACATGTGCTTGGTTTGTTAAACTGAGTATGTTACATCTTTTGCATTATAATATCGTCAATAAGATTTACATGTGCAAAATATGGGTGGAGCTGTGGAAATTTTGAGTTAGCGCTTTTTATTCTATTTTGTTATCTCAAAAATTTTGATAATTTATATAAATAACTTAATTTTTTTTTTTTATTTGTTAACTTTCATATCTTATTTTTCTTATATATTTATTATCTTTTTATTTAGTTTTATTTATATTATTTTTTTATTTGTAGTTTAGTTTTATAGGATCTCTATAGTCTTTTGCTTTTTTTTTTTTATTTAAATTTCTTTTTTTTTTTTTTTTTTTATTGATTATGTTATTATATTTTTTTATTGGTTGTTCTTTCTGTTTTTGTTTTAATATTATTATTTTTCTAGTATATCTCTTTTTTTTATGTGTATTTTATTGTTTATATATTTATCTATCTTTATATTTCTTGTTTTTTATCTCTATCTAATTTTTATATCTCCACTTTCTGTTTATATTATATTTATATTATTTTAATATCATTATATATATGTCGTTTAGTTATTTATATATTATTAAGATTTATGTTTACATTTTATTCATTTATTTTTCCATTATTAATATCTTTGTGGATATTTATCTCTCATGTTTTTGTCTCTATTGTCTCTCAGTCTCTCTATTCTCCTTTATTAAACTTAATTTTTTCTTTTTCTCTATTTTTTTTTGTTTGGTTTATATATCTTAAATATTCTATATATAAATTTTATTTATTCATTAGTATATTTTTTGTTTTTATATTATCTTTATTATTAATTTTTTGATTTTTTTATTTAGTCCTTTATATTCTTCTTATTTTATTTAATCTAGCTATTATGTATTGTGGCTATAATCTAATGTATGTATATTATTGATGCAATTATCTTTATTAATAATTATTCTTATATATATCATAAATATTTGTTATTCATTCTTCTCTATTTTTTCAGTATTATATATGTATTTTTATATTTTTTAGTTCTTAGATATATATATCTATAATTTATTTTTTTTCTTATTTTTATCTATATGCTTCTCTCTCCTAAATATATTTTTTTTCCTATATTTTCTATATTTCTTATTTTTTATGTATAGGCTATATATCTTATTTAATAATTTTTATCTATCTTCATTTAATGATATCGTTATCTATATTCTATATTTGTTATTCAGTTCTATTCTATATTATGTTCTATTATATTAATTAACAATATTTTTTTTTTTTCTTTATTTTTCTTATTTTTACAGACCCCTATAAATAGGTTTCATATTCAATTTTATTAATTATGATCATATATCTTTGATTATATAGATTATATCTCTCTAATAATCTACTAGACATTATATTTTTTTATCTTTTTCTCATTCTAATAATTTTTTGCTTTTTATGTAAAATATCATTTTAAATTCTTTTTCTATTTTTTATCTCTATAGATCCCTCATATATATTTGGTGCCAATTAAAATAATATTAGCTTTGATATATAATATATATCTACTCTTTTTAGATATCTATACATAACTATATTATTTTTGTTTTTTTATCTCATTTCTTTTATTCTATATTT